TACAACCACAAAAATGCCACATTGATGGTGCTCCCACAGATTGGTGGGATGAGAAATGTTTTTTCAACTGCAAATGACAAGAAATGGCAGGATAGAAAGATAATGTAACCAAGGCCATGTTTGCATACAGGATTAAATTCATCTTCCATGAATATTTGTGCCTATAAGACTTGATAGCATGAGTAAATGATGAAAATTAAACCTTAAGTTTGATATAAGCTTACCCAAGGCAAATGTTTAGTGCTCACCTATCTCTATCACAGATGTTTCAGCAAGCAGTATTTAGACAAAACTCTCCTTTTATGGAAAATTCTGCCATTTATTTTTCACAGTGAGAGCAAAACTAATAAATGTATACTCGGTTAATTTAATTCTTGGAGATTAAGTTAATAGAGTAGATGAACTGCCTAGGGATTTTTCCATTTATTTGTAAAAATAATTGAAAACAACTGCACACCTACTTCAGGGCAATTGCAATTAAGTCATTTTCAGGCTGGTCAAGTTTTTTGTTCTGGTTTGGCTTTTTTTGACAATGCAAAATTGGGGAGAGGCACGCGCTTCAGAAGAGGCACATTGGAATCTTGAATAAGTGACACGCTACATATAACTAAGCACTGTATGATGGGGACTTTGTGTACCTGGGAATGTAAGGGACATCGTAAGGGAGATCAGCTGCAGCCTTTAATTCACTACATGTTGAAAATCATATTCAGATCCAACATTTATTTATAGCTTTAGACAACCCCATTTGCACACAATGATAGCTCCCTGCAACCTTTCATGCAAATTTATAACAAAAAATAACTTTCAGATGATTTACCACAGTTTACAGCATGTTCCACCCATTTCTTATTTGCATAAGTTTTATGTAGTATTCAGGGAACTGAAAATCTACAAGAACAAGAGCAGATATTCTTGAGTTGAAAACTTGCACGTTGCTTCCTATCTGATATACTGAATATGTTGTTCAGTTTATTTCTAGTGACTGAAATGTAAATTATTAATTGTGAGAACGGTATTATTTTATCTTTTGCCATTATTCTCCATAATGAGTAAATTTTTCTTCATGGTTTTTGTTTTTTTTTGTCTTATATTATTAAAGCAATTGGAAAGCACAAAGACAGAAAAGACAGACTATAACTGATGCTACCCTTGTTATTATTAAAAAAAAAAATAAAATTCTCCTTCTTTAGAGGCTGATAGAATAACATAACAGAAAGTCCTGGTTTCTTCTTAACAAGAGGAAGGCAAGAAGCTTGTATGTATGTTGCCTCGGTTCATGCACACTTCCAAATTTTCCTTTAAGTTTCCTCACAACATACAGTTGTCATCTTTTTCAGGGTGTTTGTGGGAGTGATTTTTCCTCAAACAAGTATAACTTGTTTCTATCTGTTTTTTAAAAAACTGAAGAAAGCATAAAAATGTTACCACAAGTTACTGAATAATTTGAGATTCTATTGAAGTATTACAGATATGAAAATGGACAGTAAGGTTTGCAAGATGCACAATCCTTAAGAAAAGAGCACTCTCAGTGGCTACTGTCTTGATTTTCATAGAGAAGTCAGAAGTAAAAAAATCAAATTATTCTGCAGTATTTACAGCTGCTTCTATTTTCATAATGGATTGCTGACCAGCAACCATTGGGATATATATTTTATTGTCACAATATAAGTTCAATAATTAATCCCAAAAGATTTAAAATCCTACATGGTTTTTCAAGATTTGAATGTCTAGTGATGTAAGATGGCAGAATAAGAACTTGAGTTTTCTAGGGCATTTCTCAATGCACTAAATTGAACTCCACTATTAAAATTCCTTAAAAAAGATTTCAACTGCTTGTAAGAGGAAACCTCTGTGACTGAGCTTAAGTCTTAACAGAAGTCAATGCACAAATGTTATCCCATTAAAACAGAACATATTCATTCAGACATACAAATCTGTCAGTTTTGCACTGAGAAAATGACAATAGGGATAGTAGAGAGGATTACAAGATGATGATATTTGGAACTTCACAGAGAAGAATAGGTTTTTATCAGTATTGCAGCAAATGTCTGCACATGGGAACAGAACACAAGTTATATCGACAGAGACAACCATATTCTTCAGAAGTCTCAGATTCCAGGTAATATTGTTATGTCAGTTTAAATATATATATATATATATATATATATATAAATACAGATTGAGATGAACAAAGCATGCTCTAAATGGATATTCTATAAAATGCAGATTCACTAACAGCTCAAGATTCAACTACTCAGAAAGGCTCAAGTAGACCCACAACAGAGTTCTAAAGAGGGGATTGTTTGGAATAACTTGTTTAGTTCTTAATTCAGTAAAGCTCTTTAATGTACGCCTGAATCTCTTGCTTCGGTTAGCTGAGATGTAATAATTCACATATGTAAACACTTTGCTGAAATGAACACTAAACTACACATCTATGATCTCCTGCATGTAATGAATCTTCCACACCATGTCGATATATGTGCATGTATTGTTGGATTATTATATAGCCAGACACCACGAAGGCTAACAGAGGTTCTCTGGCAAAATGGTATGTATGAATAACAATTTCATATATAAACAATGTCTGTTATAGTTTCAAACCAGCAGAATTTGGCCTCTCAGAGCAAAATGAGCAAGAAATACCATTCACAATATGTAATAAGATGCCAGCAAGAGAATACTATACCAAACATTTAACTTCCCCCTTTTGTAACATTCCCTTTCCAAACATCTCTTGAGATTCGATATTTAAACATGCAATTTACCAACCTTCTCAACTCAATATAAATACCCAGCAGAATTTCACTTAAAGCCTCAGTATGTAACGAAACAACACATGATGGCTTATTTTAATTCAGTAAGAATTATATAAAATAGAATTATATGAGGATGTCGTTAAAAGGAAAGTGATAGGTAGAAATACTTTCAGCATCCAGATACAAAAGTCTGAAAACAATTATTTCTTTGTGCTAGTCTATAGTTTTCCAGGGTAATTAACAATTACTCATAGGCTACTGGAATTGCCATACCTCATCAGACCAGCTTTGTATCTGACCAATTGGTTAGGAAAATATGCAATAAATCTTTTTCTTATTTAAGCCTCATGTTTGGACTCTCCTCTGCTTGTGTTACCACATGTAACTGTAAACATTCTTGTCAGACATAAACAAATCTTAAAACCCATAAATACTTGTCCACTATATAACACTGTGTTTGGTTCTGGCTTAATTTGCATTCTAAAAAAAAAATAAGAAATAGAAATCTGAAATTTTATTACAGTATATTCTAAAGGCAATAAAGGAGACCTAAGACAGCTTTTGAGAATAACCACAGATTAAGTTTTCACTCTTCCTCGTCTGTAAAATCAGTGAACAGTCAGAAGTTTTCACTTAATCTTGTGCTGCAATGAACAGAAAGTATCTGTAAAGAAAGCAGTCTTGTAATTCTGCTATATCCTTATTGTGACAAACAGAGATGATTCAGAGTAACTCAAATTTTGTCATTTTAATCACATTTTTCACCTACACTTTCCTCTGAAATGGGACCTTTAATATAGATATTTCATACTCATCTAGGTATTTCTTATGCACACTCATTTTATCTTAAATTTTGGAATGCTTTCTTTATGTCTCCAAAATGCACGAAATAATCTTTAAAAATCTTTTATCTTTCTGTTTGTTTTTTTTTTTTTAAACAACCAAAAGCTATGATTTTTGTGTCATTAGTATCACGAGTTCCTGAAAAATACTTTAGACAATCTATTTCAGATTGTGTATTATTCTCCCTTTTGATTGTGCATTGTTTATTAGTTATTCTGTACGCTGTATAGTTAATTTGCTGTTGTGTCTCGCCCTGATTATATGACAAACATTACCAGGGCAATGGCACTTTGGATATACATGGACATTGTGTTTAAATGATCATCTCAACCAAAATTCCTAGAACGTTCAGAAAGCATCAGTCAGTACATGATTCTAGCCAGTCATATAATGATGTACATGAGAAGCAATAATCCTTCCTTTGGCAACCCACATGCACTCTGAAGGATAAGATTCAATTACCCTTAACTTCACAAAAAAACATTTCCCCACATTTTGGTTTTAAGTAATGCAGGAGAAGTTCACTGATGGCAAATTGGACTGAAATGTTATTGGATTCCTTGAGAGTTATACCAAATACAAGCAGAAATACAAATGAATGATATTTAAGGCACCTTCCAACCCAGGACGTTCTATAATTCTGACACTTTCTGGAAGCAAACCTGAAGGGTTGATATCTTCTTCCTCCCCTCCACAAAAACAATTACAACAACAAAAAAGCAAACAAACCAGAAAAAAAAAAAAAAAAAAAAAAAAAAAAACACAAAAAAGTCCTATCACGATTTTAAATTAAAAATATCTATTGAAATACATAAGTGAAGAGTTTTGCTTACGTTCTAATAGTGTATTTGAACGTATTATTAAAAGCAATGTTAAAGAGGAAAAACATGAGTGTTCCAACAGGCATCAGAGATATTACTGAGCTGCAAAAGCTTCATGCTGTAGTCATACAAACAAAGTATACAAACAAATCTACTAGATTTGCATTTTAAACAGTAGAAAGTATTAACACAATACAGTGAATTGATTTTTTTTTTTTTTTTTGTGATGGAGATAGAGATTCATAAAATAAAGAGTAGAATGAAAATATTCCTCCTACCAAGGAAACAGCCTAGAACATAATTTTGAGCATTGTACAATAGCCAAGAATGTACCTTGAAGGTTAATATTTCCACAATATCTTATTATTCAAATTAATTACTACATTAAAAGGCTGCATTTATCCTCAAGCAATATCACACAAGCATTATTTTTGTCACTAATGAAACATTCAGTTAGCCAAAATCATTTTTAGGTGAATAGAAGGATTGCTACTGACTTTTTAATAGACATAATACTTCATACTGCATAAGATAGTTTCATTTTTCCATTAAATACAGGTGAGAAAACACTTACTTTTCTATCTGGCCAATTATATTTTGCAAATATTGTGTCGTATGTGTCCACAGCTCCATCAGTAATCAACATTATGGCTTGGCTGCAAATACTCCCTTGTCCTGTGTGATTGAACTGTGAAAGGAAAAGTTCATTTAAATACAACACATTCTGTTAGATACAGAAAATAGACCAGTTAGAGACATGCTATTCATATGGCATTTGTATTCACTCCACATTACACATCATATGATATTTTTCATAAAAATGTTTATCTGGTGTTAGCAACAAAATACAAAGTTGGAAGATTATTTCATTTCCAGTTACTCTGTATGAAACACAACACTTAAAAAATGTGAAAAGGCCAATAACTTGTAGCACTGCACACAATTCTGTTTCTACAGGTTGTACTAAGTTTTAAATACATGCTAATAAACAATCTCTTTTTGTTCTATTCCTATCTAAATTTCAGATACATTATCAAGTTAGACAAGTCCTCATCCTACCATTCTTTTCTTGGTACTGAGAAAGATACAAATTTTCCCTGTCTACCATGTCTCACCATATCAGCTTACCTGTGCAGAGTAGCAGCCCAAAAAAACCCAAATGTCTGGATTCGTTTTCAGAATACTCTAGTTTGATGTGGGTTTGCAACTCCTTTGTCACTGAAATTGCTGCAGTCAACTTACCCTCACTTATTTGCTGATCTTCTCAGAACCCTATAATTTTTCTTGTAAAAAACTTCTTAACTTATAAAAATCTCATCTCTGTAGACATTCCAATACCTCACCACCTTTACAGTAAAGGATTTCCTCCTCGTATCTAAGCTAAATGTAGCCTATTTTATTTTAAAACCATTATAAATCTACCCTTTTCTCTTCTACTTTAAAGCCATTCTCCCCTGTTCTATCACAACACCTCTGATAAAATAGACCCTCTACATTCATATGAACAACATACTTTGAAATGCACAAGTTATAGTAAAAGGGGAAATAATGAAGGGGAATGCCTTCATATATCTATTTTAAAATATTAATCTGTGTGCATATGCATTATTCTACACGGTTGTTTGAACATTTGTAAGAATGAGAGGAAATTCAAATGCTTTGATGAGTAATATCGTCACATATTTGTCTAGAACTTTAATTTTATTGAATAGCAAGAATGATGAAAGTGTTTTCCATAATAATAACAATGACAAGGGACTTATGATGAACTACAATTAACTTGGTGATTCATCAGTAAGCAGCAAAAATTTCAATGCATCCTGATGCTCAGAGCATTTGGTTGTGATTAGCAGTCTTTGAAATGTCACAGAATTTTATTTAATTGGCTTTGATTTTTTTAAAAAGGTAATCACTGCAAAGACTACATTTGTCGCCAAAAGAGATAATTGCAGTTGTCACATGACAACGTAGGTGCCTCACTGCTCCACCAACCACTTCTGTATTCTTACAGCAACTAATGAACCCTGCTTAAATCAGTGGTTGGAAAGAATTTGAAAGTGGATTTTAAACACGCATTTCAAAGATGTTCGGTATCAACATCTTCAGATCTTAATAACCCAAGCAAATACAGAAATTGAAATACAGGTAATTGCAAGACAAAATTAAGTGAGTTTAATTACTGTAAATCCTGAACCATTCTGAAAACGCAGCTAGATTCTCAATAAGACTATCAGTGTAAGATGAAGCCTCCCCTCCAACTTTCTTTTTTAAGTGTAACCCAGACATCCTTAACTAAGACAAAGTTCACGTGAACAGATTTCTGGCATATAAAGGTCACATGTTGTAGACGAAGTTGAAAATGGTTAGCAGTATTCTTTTAAGGATAGTTGAAACTGTGAAATTTACATATTAGCCTAATATTTTTAACACCTACCAGCAGCAACTGAAATAAACTTATTTAAATACATAGACACATAAAGGCGCATACTGTATATACACACACAGAACAAAAACAACAACAAAAAAAACCACTGTAACTATAAAGTTAGTAAATATAACGATCCTTCCCAACATATAAACATTGCTTGTTCTATGGACAATATTTTACTGTCATGACAGTTTTGGAGTTGGTTCTAATTTATTACCTTAAAATCGACAGTAATTGCTAAAGAGCTGGAAAAACACCAGCAGCGCAAACCTGAAAAGCATTAACTTACTTCATTGAGCATGTTGAAAGCTTCATTTAAAGCAATGTCCAGCATTCCAATTCCTTTTGCAAAAAGCTTGTCAAGGTGCTCCCTAAAATGCTGAAATGAACAAGAATGTTTTATTTGTCAGATTATTCTTACATATATTTTTACAATGATTAAAGTTTTCTTGAGACTTACCAGGACTGCATACACTAATTCATAAACCATAGTAGTTCCTGCTCAATGTTTTTGACAAAGTCACACCAAAGTATAGACATATTAGAATAATAACTTAAAAATGTCACAAGACTTTTTTTGACCAGTTATTTAGTCAAACTGTTCTTTATTTGCCTTTTAGTTTGTTTTTATACATACCTTCATATACATATCTTCATATAATATTTTTTATTGTAGTTATTAAACTTTTAGCTCTCAGGAAATACTACTTAATAATTATTCACTGACAGTTTTCATGTCCTATTTTGTGTTATGTCTCCTCAAAAGTTGGTAGATCCTATTGTTTTGTTTAGCTGTTTTGCCCATTGCTGGTCAAGCTGTTTATCAATGTCAGCATAATATTAAGAGAACAGGTCTTGCTAAATATTGGCAATTATCTTCATGTTTATGTTGCATAGCCATAAGCCTTATTTTTGTAGTTCTAAATGTTTCATCAATTATGCATTGCTATAATTGCTTGTCCATAAGCATTGGTAAAATCTGGCACAAGTCAGCATTCATCCTATATTCCTCTCATAGTGAACAGAGAATCATATAGTCATGGAATGTCTTGGGCTGGAAGGGACTCCAGATCATCCAGTTCCAACACTTCCCCTGTCACATATTTTATTTCTCCAGATATGTCAGAAGTTTGAACAATTTCACAAATTTTACACTCAGCAAAAAATAAAGGGCTATACTATAATACAAATATTAAATTGTAGTTCTAACTTTTAGATTAAGTAAGCACATTTTCAAAAGTATGGTAGCACTTCCTTTTGCAAATAATATGTTCAGAGAAGAAATAAAGTCTCTTAGGTTTTTAAGGAATTACACAGGATAAAATCCAGTTTCATGAGTCATGCTGACATAAAAAGAAGGACACTGAATGAAATATCAACTAGCAAGCGTGACACCTCTGATTTTATCTGATGGATACATATCTTCCTTTGTAGAATAAAAAGATATTACTCTGCATATTGGAAAGCAGAGTTCTTTCTATTTCATTAATAAATTTCAGTCTGTCAAAATGAGGAAAATTTCCATCCTAGCTCTAGGCGATTTTGAAGCATACACTACTGCCACAAAAACAGGCTGCTTTTTCAAAACAATTAGTCCGCAGTGACCTAGTAAACGTAGTTCATTGCAGCTCAATGCTTTGAACAGCCAAAAGACACAGTCTTATTTGTCTAAATAAAAAGCAATAGCATTAATCTCTACATACCTAAATTGCAAAACGATTTTTTTTGCCAACTTAAACACAGCTAACTTCAGTAAACTCTATCACTATTGCATAGTAATACAAATCACAGTTTTAAGTATAATTTATAAACATAATGATTTTGATTAAGAAAATGAAGACACACGTAGTGGGGAAAAAAAACGAGGAAAGCATTTTTTAAGATCCCACAGATGGATAAAAAGGTCAGTTCAATAAGTTAGTAAGAGGAAAATTTGTCACTTCATTAGCCATGTCAAAACATTAATATATATCTAAGAAAACTAATTATGTTTGCAGAAGAATTAAAATCCTATTGTCCCCTTACATCACGCCCTTCGTATTTTTACAAATAATAATAAAAACATGAATGAATATAAAATATCCAAATGTTCAAGAAATGCATTAACCTCTTCTTATTCCGTATCCTACTTCAAAACACATCTGAAAGTTAGGTATAAGCTCACATAAAATATAGGCATATTCTTGACTTCAGTTAACACAGACTGGAAATTGAGAGTAGCGATGCAGAAAGCAGTTTCCCAGACAAGGGCTACGTCAGCTGTCAGCAGCACAACACGGTGTGCTTTCCATCACTACTTCAAAACACAACTGACTTGCACTGAGTCTCACAGACCACTGACTTCTACGCATACAGACAGAAACAGGACTTTTTCAGCAAATGAAGCTTTACAGAAACTTAGAAAGCGCACATCTTTTTTAATGAAATATTTAAACATATATTATTTTAAAATTGTTCACAGAAATTCTTCAAAAACTAAAATATATTTATAAAATTCTCCAGGAAACATCCTTTCAAAACAAATTTCACATATAGTTGATGGTTTTAAACCAGAAAATGTAGTTTGCTGCTAAGTAAAATGTTGAAAACAAGCAGTTCACTTCTGTTCCATTGATGTCCAAAACTATTTCAAAACATCCAGTGTAAGCATTGACCAGAAGTTTTCAAGCTGTGGGAGCAGTCTGTGCTTACAGCCTGTCTTTACAAGATCCATGAGACTAAGATCAGTTCACAGTTGTCACAGATGCTTCCAATAACACAATTACTGACCCCAAAACAGAGCTTTCAGAAAAATGAAAATCACCAAATTTTGTCATGGAAATAAGTTTCCAATCTTACCTTTTTGTAAATCTTGCATGTTAAATAATTATCACAAAACACATTTCTCTCTGAAATATTTTACTGCTTCATAATTAAACGAGAATTACTTTGCTATTGAAAATTAGACTTATGTGTAAAATCTTTGAGTATTTCAGTAGTAGGCACTGTGGAATACTTATTACAAAGCATATACATTATCAAGTATGAAAATACAGAATAAACAGATTAGCAAAAATCACTCATAAATACTAAAATCTCCAGTGTATAGTCAGTTCACATTATATGTCAGAAGAATAAATATTTTCTCTTGCTACAGTGCTCTCTCTCTTTACATATACATACAAACACACATTCTGAAAATAGTAATGTTTGTTTGATATAAAAATTGTAAAAATGTTAAAAATCCACTTCATGCAGTATGAATTTTAACAAATAACTGTTTGCTGTCCCCAGGCTTCTGAACAGATGAATGCTAGACAAGGTGGTTCTGCAAAAAGGTCTAGTGACTAAAATGAATGTGTATTTTTATTGACTCCATTCTCTATCTTGGAAGTGTTTTAAATCTTTTTTTTTTTCCCCCAAGAGTTTCAGCACTGTGTATGTCCACTAAAAAATTGCATTACATTCCAATTAACATTTGTTTCCTTCTTTATCACACCAGACGCTCTGAGTGCGTGGCATTAATTGAAACCACACTGAAAGACATCATGTTTCATTTTACAGGAAACACAAAGACTAACTTCCTCAGACAGTCCACACTTTATCTAGCTCAGGCTGTTTCACTGTAAACAATGAAAATGGACTAGTGCATTTCCGCACATGCAGACTGCTGCACGCTTACCAGCCATGCTATAGCGCTCCTTTTGTTATTAGAAAGACAAGGTATTTTTAAAGCATTGTATCATTTCAATATGAGAATACCAAATTTTCAACCTGGTATGCCTGTCACAATTTCTGGATAACCTGCTGACAGGTATCTGCAACTGCCATCCAATAATTTAGTAACTTACAGATGTCCTGCAAGACAGCTATAATTCAACCATGTACTACTTTAAAAAACATCATGACAGGAGCTAAACCACTGAATCATCATTTTAAAGAACAATAGATGACTTTGGAATGAGATAACAAACTCCTCAATTTTACTTTCAGTAACTTCCATAAACGAAACAGATCCCAGAAAGCAGGTTTGCTTGCTCATAAAAACTCAGAAAGACCATGTTTTAATTTAATCTTTTCATTTTAAAAAGCTTACTTAATACCAAACTGCATAAGCAATAATATTGGTCCATCTCACTTTCTCTTTACTGTCATATTGAAGACCTTGTATTTGAATTATCTAAAGCTTGAACTCAGTATCTCAACTAACAGTGTGCATAAGCATTTGCCCGCAACTGCATGTTTAATTTCCATGTGCAATTACCATAACGTGCAATATCTAATTGTGGACTCAAATATCTAATTGACATGCATAATTTTGGTAATTCTAAATGCAAATTAGGCACACAATTATGACAATCAGACTCTGATGTCTGATTACAAAATTATAGGGCCAGAGCTCAACAGAAGAAGATGCGTCTAGTTACAGTAAAGAAGCATGGATGTGTTCAGCTGTAGAGGTATCTACAATCATTTTAGAAGTAGTTGAAATACACATCTTGCAGAAGGCTCTGGGTAAACGTCATTGCAGCCTTCCAATACTTGGAAGACTTTTTACGCAGCGTAATAGTGACAGGACAAGGGGGAATGGCTTTAAACTAAAAGAGAAATTTAGGTTAGATTTTAGGAAATAATTCTTTCCTCGTAGGATGGTGAGGCACTGGCACAGCTGCCCAGAGTTGTGGAGGTGCTCAAGAACAGGCCAGATGGAAACTTAGGCAGCCTGAGCTGGTGGGTAATAACCAGCCCGTGGCAGGGGGTTGGATCTCAGTGATCTTTAAGGCCCCTTCCAACCTAAGCTATTCTAGGGTTCTAAGATAACCCAAAGAGAGTAAAGAAAAATCCACTCATGTCTATCAGCCCAGGTAAGGTCCTTCCATGTATCTATGAGGTTTCAGTCAGGAGTATTGGTAAGCTACCTGATGTACGCATCTGAACAAATTAATTCCTCATCCACCTTCTACCTTACTGTTTACCTTGTTAAAGCAATCTTATTTTTTCTTGATTGTAGGGCTTCTGCATCAGTAGCTTGAGTTATGCTTAAATTCCCAATTATACAAAGTTTTCAACATTTTAATTAAAACCTATTATTTGGTTTTAATAATATTGTGTTTTTGACAAGATGCTACTCAATATTTGCAGTCCACTATACAGTTATCTTTTAATCTATCTGATTTGAGATTACTAGAAATAATTTACCATTGGTTAGAATGCCATAATTAGATGCGGTTGCAGGACCATAGTTAGTCTAAAAGTCTAAGCATATATGAATAAAGTATTTTCTACAGATTCCACATAGGAAAAGTTCACATCTGATACAAGCACTATAATTTATACATTTACATCACCTAACTACAATACTATTGTTTGACAAAGGTGAACTTCCTAGAGAAAAATACTGTTAATGAGTTAAAGATTTCTCCAGATTTTGTGTTACTAATTCTTGCAAAGACTTGCACTATAACTATTATTTCCTATTTTCATCCATGCATGTTAATATTTGAGATATACTCAGTAATGACTTATCAGATTTGTGAGGAGGAACTACATCAATACACAAAGCAGTGAAAAAACAGACATTTACTGGTACCTCACAGGGAAGCCTACCCACACAAACAGTTGATAAATCTGCATTAACATCTGTAAAATGAATATAAGCATCTTATTTAAGATTAGTTGCTAGAGCAATTACAGGTTAGCATGCTGTTGATGATTATCCAATCACTCATTTTCCCTAGCATGTTGTGTTGGTAGGCTGATTTTTTTTTTTTTTCCATATAAACAAATACCAGATATGAAAAGCTAGAAGCTGATTTGTTGGTCAAAGAACTCAAGATTCAATATAGCAAATTAAAAACAAGCTCCCTGTTAAACAAATTAGTTGCCTGGAGCTGCAATAGAAAACTTCAGAGCCACTTTCAACGGTCTGATGCTAGCTGAAAGTTATGAGGGTCCAGAATGGCTATTCATCTGATAAAAAAATTCAAATCGATTTTTAATTTTTGAATTAAATGTGAGCCTTTCTATTTTTGGTGTTGTGAATTTTGTTTCTTTTGTTTTGTTTTGGGTTGGATTGGATTTTGCTGTTCTTTTTTTTACAGCTAAGTAATGCAGTCAGCAATCCTTTTTGGAGATCTAAGACAGATAAATAGACAATTAAGCATGCTTAAATAATAATAAATATGCTAATTTTGTATTTACCAGCCCCTTATTGGGAATTTCACCCAGTCCTGTTACTGAGTTAGTCTTCTAATTATTTACTTTCTGCTAACTGCATCTAGTAAAAGTTTACTAGAAATTAAATGCAACGCCTGTCTATTTTTGTCTTCGAATTTACGCACGGGTAAGTTCTCAACTTAGTTTGGAGTTATTGTGCCTATGTGTACATCTAAAAGATGATATATCTCATATGGAAACGCTTATAGAGAAATGTCCTCAACCCATATATAGCATATTAAAAAAAACATATAAAAAAGGAATGCATATTGTAATATTGTTACTTTAAATCTGGAGTTACACTAAATCAGATTGTCATCCGATTCCTTTGGGGTAGGTAAATTGCAACATGGAGTTCCTCAAAGATGAAAACCTCTTGGCCCAAGAAAACCAGTATTAAAATAGGCAGTTCCACATGTTTGTAATTTGTAGAGAAAGTGCAGACGGTGACAGAACAGTGTCTGAACTATTTCCCACTCTTTTTTTAAATATATGTATAGCAAATTGATACACTTCAAGGTAGCAGCTGTTTAATGCTAATGCCAAATTATAAGTTAGTTCGGTAAAATTCAAATTCATATTACATGCTTTACGTTACTAAGCCACATTTAGGGTCACAGATTCATTTCTACCTCATTTATGCTACCCAGTGTACATACAGACTTAATCTTTGTGATAAAGAGAACTTGAAGAAAGTTCTGCAAATCAAGAATGATTACAAAATTCTGAAAGTACATCTCCACATCTCCAAAGAGAACCTCCAAGGCAGGTATACTTTTTTTCACAAAAAATAGTGCTGTGCTTTGGAAAAAAAAAAAAAAAGTTGAAAGAAGCAGATGCCTGCCATATCACTTGTAAATTATAATTCAAAACCGAATTACTATAGTCTTTCATTGTAAAAATGAAAGCAGAAACACTATATGTTGGAAGAAGCCTTGGACGGGGATGTCTGCTTTGTGTCTTGGTAGAACTTGTGGTGTATATATATTAATGCCACTCACATCACAGTTATACATGAAGTTATAAGTTTGCCTTTTCTAAATATACAAAAATTGACTTGATTCAGTCAGGCTTCTCAAAAGAGGTATGCTTTCAGAAGTTATAGCTGACAGAAATTCGATTATATCCACACTGCTTAGAAAGCTGTAACATAAGCTTTCATATAATCAAAGATTTTGGGAAAAAACAAAACAAAACAAAAAAACTTGATCAAGACCAGTGGATGTTTCTAAACATAAGTAACTTTTCCTTGTTGATTGTTGACAGTATTAAAAAAAGCCAACCTTAAAAAAAAAAAATGAAGTTGTTACACAAAGATTTACAACTCAAAACTGCAGTATGTGCAGTTCTTGAAGCTGGCAAGGAACAGATTTAGGTGCTTAGAATCATCTCTTTTATCAATGTATCTTCACTCCTTATCAAAAGAAAACATTTTTAAAAAATTTTATTATTAACGTGTTGGAAATTTAGGTGAAAGCCTATTTATTATCCAGCTCTTCTTCCTTTTCCATAGTAAAAATATCTTAAATTTTAAAATTATTTATTATAAATTTATATTTATTATGTATTATATAATGATATATCCAAATTACTTTACACTCTTTAAAAATCTACTGCAATGCAACAGACAGATAATAATGCTGTAATCAAGGAGTGATCTTGATCAAGTCACTCTCATGAGTGTGATGGGGCATTTAAAAAAATATTTCCTACTTTCACTACCCCAACTATCATGAAAATTGTATGTCTTTCCAAAATAGTTATTTGGTTAAGCTGAATATTACAAAGGTATACTACTCATGCTTTCGCTTTGTTGCTACTTTGCTTATTTAATAAAACAATTCAGGTTCATAAATTCTCTTTTGGGCTCCTTTATTACATGAATCAAGAAATAAGTGAGTAAACTCAACTTGTCACCTTAATTCATTAAAACGGCTGTGGGAAAAGAAAAGAGCGAAGGGAAGGAAAGGGAAAAATACATACAACTATGACCTGCTATCTATCTCAAGTTTATTTTCAAGGGAAAGATATCAATGACCGTCAAGATGGAAAAAGATGACACTTAGTTATTCTCCAAACCCTTGAATATATTGTTCAACTTAAAGGCAAAGCAATACACAAACTGACATCAGATTAAAAAAAATAGTACTTAACTGGAAAGGATGTAGAAGCTTACTCTGAAGAACATGAAATTGTACTTAGCTCATAAAATCTGAGCATCATCTAAGTAGCACAGAAACTTTTTATTTACTTCAATTGAAATAAATCTGCCATTGAGTAACATATGGGTATATATTAATCAGCATTCTGATCAGTTGCAGAGTGAAGGAAGGATCAGTATTTGAATTAATTACAGACAATACATCTTGGGAATATATTTAAATCTTTAGCTTTTAGTCTAGAACACGCACAGCTTTCATATGGTTAATTCAATAAAGTGCTGCTTTAGAAAACTACATAACAGTTCACAAACAAGGGCCTTCAACAGGAAATGATTAGCAACAATTCACGTTGCTCCATTCAGCAACCAAATTCTATGTAGATATCCTAAAAATCAAAAGTGAAGAACATCAAGCACATTAACGAAGTAGCCCCTGAAGGATAATTCCTGTGGAATGTCGGTATATGTTTAGGTGAAATAAGAACCCATGTGAGTAGTACAATAAAGTTTAGCAGGACCAGACCAACTTAATTTCATCTTGGCATACATGAAAAGATCTAAGATAGACACACTTAGAAATGTGTTTTCATTGCTATATTTGCTACTTCCTGCAATGCCTCATTGACTGTTTTAGTAAAAATGAACTGTCAAGCTGAACCCTAAGTGCAATTCAGTGCTGAGCTGAAACCCTTTGGTCTGTCTTTGGTAGAAAAGACACAGACAAACTTTTAAGACACGGCAGCAGCTTTGTATCATCTAGGCAAAAGCAACACTCATTACCAGAGAAGTTCTGTAGTTACAGGTATGGCTTTAACAGCCTTTCAATATACAAGAACTTTTCAACTATCTTATTAAACCCAGAATTTAATAATTTTATTTGGTACAAACCATCCTATCTTAACCTTCTAAGACATGCAATGCAGTATTGCTTCTACAGAGCAACTGCACTTGAATGGCAGGCAATAAATCAGGCTTTAAACTGTAGATTCATTATGTGATAGTCCTTCAAAGAACACTTTCAATAAACAGTGTATTTTTATTAAAAAAAAAAAAAAAAAAAAGTCAGTACTATATAATGCATTTGCACACACATTGAATTTTCTTGGATTAATACATTATTCTTTTGACATGTCTGTTTGGAATAGTCACACTTTCAATTCATATAGAATAATATCTGTTTCAACTTTAGTATTAGTGTGACTTAAGAACACAACCTATTCCTCAGTCTTTTTTTTTTTTTAAGTGTGTTTTCAGTAATTTCTGTGTTTTTCAATTAGGATTAATCAATCTAAATAGCTAGATAGATATTTTTCTTCATACTGAGTCGCACATGATTCCTTAGAAATGTCAGAAGCAGAATAATTAATTTATTAATTGCAATAATGTAATCCATTATACTAGGAAAAGGTCATCACAGCACATTTTAGGCAATGCAGCCTCTCTGTTGTTTTGTTCCTTTCATTCCTTACCTCTTTGTTGGTTCTGTCTGCTTGAACCAATGTTCCATTCAGACACGGTTCTACATAGTGAAGTTCTTCATTATACTATTCAGAAAAATAAAAAGTATTATGAAAATTTAATTAAAAGCTTTGAAAGATACAATGTAGTGATTTAGAACTGGAGGGAAGCATGCATATAAAGCAAGAACAATTGGATTCAGTTCATTTTTAAAAACTGACCAAAGACATTTTTCTTTGTCATGCTTCTTAATATCTCAGAGGTTTAGAATTTTTAAAAGGAGCATTCAATGGAACAGATGCCAGCTTGGGTGGAGGTAATGTGTACTATACACACTAGCTGGCATAAATACCCTTCAAGCTGAAATCTGGATAATATTAAGAGATTAAGGGTTCGGATTTGATGCATCTCAGTCACAATTCCCAATTCTTTGTTACATATTAAATAAAAGACTTGACAAATAATTGAAGCATTGGCTAACACATTTTGGAAGGTTAATAGCGAAATAACTATGCTAAAAAGTGTGTGAGCTTGAATCCTGAATACATCAGGATTTAAGAGTCAGAATTTAAGTCAAGCAAAATAACTCATTGCACAATGATACATGAAGCTGTGACAGATCCTGAAAGAATTCTCCGCTTTTCTTTCAAGGTTGAAGTTAGACAGTCCAGATTCATTTTCAGAAGCATCTTAAGAATTTAAAGAACAGCCTCATTTGCATTCAGTAGATCTAACAGAACTATTGATACTCTAGTGATTTAATTGAAAATTGACTTGTTTAAATCTTAAACCTTTCAATGCAGGTCAGATTAATTGATGCCTTCAAAAACTCTATGATATCCCTTGTAAAGATGTGATCTTCACTTAATTCTTATTAATTTGATCTAATCTGGAAGTTACCACAGATCAAAGAGCCTTTGCATTTAAGCTCCACTTGTTTTCACTCTTTCCCAGACGTTAAGTGAATCAGAACATCCACAGCAGACAAGATATGAAGTTAAGCCAAAAACAATCAGGGACAGCATTTCCAGTGATTAACATATGCATTTACTCACTTGCTCCTCCATCTCAACAAGAATTAAAAAAAAGTCTTCCAACAATTCATTTCTGACTGTTGCTTACACAAGGTTCTTGGTCACTGCAAAACCTCATTTCTGCTGTGGCTGTGAATTTGATCGACTCCCTCTTCAATTTAACACCATTCCTTTGTCTGTACAACATATGCATAAACACAGATCGCTGCAACCTGTTCCACAACGGACAATCTGTCATCACCATTCATGTGAACAATGCACTGCTTGCCACACTAATTAATTAATTACATAATTACTGCTGCAAAGGGAAGAGCTTTTAATTAGAATTTCATCAAGTTATTCTTGAGGTGCTGTGTCAGACTCAGTCCTTAACTATAAAGAAGTATATACCCAGAGAAACTTATTTCCTACTGCTGGATATGTAGAACATTTACATCTACAAAGTAGCTGGTTAAATGTTTAAAAACAAACCAAAATTCTAGAAAGGGATTTATGCAAAAATTCTTTAGCAGACTTGCATGCTTTTCTAATTATTTTATTCCCATCAGTGTTATTCCAATATATGAGAGCCTGCCAACACGTCTATTATTCCAAAGCCAATATGAAAACACAAGGCAGTGACAACCGAAACACTTGAGAGTCACTGGGAATGTCCTCTGTGCATCCCAGCATCATAGCCATTCGACTACTAAATTATACACTTTTTGCTGCAGTTTCTCTTCAGGCTGCTTTCCAGTCCATCTCCTGACAGACACTGCAAAATAGTAATGCAAAATCTGCAAAGCAACTCCTACTATAGACCAAAGTAAAAACTGCCTTCCATACTATTGAAATACAAAAAAATATCCCAATACTACACCACACGCTGAAAACCTGTAACACACACTGGCACACCAATCACTACTCCAAGCTTTCTCTTGCTTTCACACTTTTTTTTTTTTTTTTTTTTTTTAGCATGTTCTTCGATCAGTGTACTTCCTGATTAAGCCTGGGCTTTTAGCATGATTTTGGTAGCTGTTTTTGGAAGCTAGAACAAAGGCATGCTTTTTCTTACATGATACCAAGCAGTCTGTAGTCAGCCAACATGCAATAAAGAATTATGCTGTTTTTTTTCTCAGTCATGATCATTTCAAATATCTCACATGTAACAGCAAAATACCTAGTTCTAAATGCTGTATTAATACTGCACTTTTTTTCCAGATCTATCATCAGCACACAGATGAATCACAAGTTCCTACTCTATCACAGCTTGTACTTAAGTAGCACAATTTCATTCTGCCCAATTTCTATTAAATAGTAATTATTTTTAATTAATTTAATATTATAATTAAATAGTCCAGACTTCTCAGCACCAGGCTATCTCTACAGACATACAGCTTGCATGGCTCCCAGCCACATCATAACCCAGACAGATGCCCAGTATCTTCACCCAATGTCTTTATCATTATTATGCTGCATAGTATAAAGGATGCCCATACTGTCACAGAAAGATGTTTCAAGTCCCTCAGCAGTCCCATTCTACAGAATCAAAAGAGGAAGAAGAAAAATGTTCATTCTCACATAAGCAGTACAATTGCACAGACAGAACATGGCCACAACTTTCTTCCTATACTCATCCTTCTGAAACCCTGCCAAATTGTGACACTATTTGCACTTGTAGTATCTAATTCACCTTGCGAATATCACTATAGAATATTTTAAGTAATCTGCTATTTATGGAAAAAAAAAGAATTATGCAGTTATGCAGAATTAATATTTTATATGGCAGTGTTCTGTGGGTAACAAGAATAACCCGGATGTGCTCCATTTGCCAGTGCTTGTACAGATACAAATAAAAGCACAATAAGAAAAATGCTATCTGCATTATATACTTTATTTTCCCTTATATATATTAAAAAAATACTACTAGATAGAAAAATTTACTGAACAAAATCATTTCAGTTCCCACAGGAATTCCCCAAACAGCAAACATCTTCCTAACTCAGTAAAAACCGAAAAAAGGGTGATACAACACGTGGAGCCATTCAAGAAGAGTTTGCTGCTTAAACTGGCACATTTGGTTAGTAAGACTTCCAGTACAACTGTCAGCTTCAGTAGAATACTCAGCTTGTGCTTCAAGCACATATTAAATGGTTTTGGTCTTTTTGTAGAATATATTGTGGTATTATTAGTGATAATTTTTTTAAACTTATCAAACTTTCTTTCAGAGTAGAAGGAAAAAAAAGGCATCCCAGAATTTTCTCAATCTAGAGGAAGCCTCCACATACTTCTCACAAACTTTCACAGCAATTTGAACTCAGTTCTGCAGCTTTTCTAGGAAATGTAGAATTTCATATTTAAATGAATTTGCTTCTTGATCTTCAATAAAAAGGCTTGTTACTAACTGCTGACTTTGCCAGCAATACCTGATACAGATCTGTTAATCCCTGGGCAAGGAGATTTTTGAAATAGAGATTTCTCCTTTAGTTCAAAGCTGTGAGTACTCAATTTTTATATAACCTGCTACAAAATTCATCTACTTGAGTAGAAGACTACATTCAGCTTTTCTGATATTTCTTAACGTTACACAGTAACATATCCATACATGCAACCATAGGAAATCATTATCACATTGCAGATGTGATATCTGCACTGCTATAGCATAGAGGGTTAAATCTGTGTATAGCCTGTGCTTCACTGAAGAAAGGAGGGAGAAGAATTAACATGGTTTACAATCTCCCTCTTAAAACCTTAGTCCGCTTTAAGTATTCTTATAATTTAAACACCTGAGGACACATTATTATTACTTTATTAGTAGTATTAAATTATTTATTTACATTTATTTTCTTTATTAATTTACATTATTTTGCCAATCTAGTTGTTTCTTGGCATAGCATAAAACAGAATGAGTGGGCCAAACTAAGAAGAATCACAGATAGCTGCTGATTTATCCTGTGTAATCAGATACTATCCATACTCTGAAAATATGAGGAGATGTGGCTCTAAACCTATGCAAGTAGTTTGCATTTATTTCAGCATTTTGCATATTTATTCTTTAGCAAAGCAGTCTGGAACAAGATCCACAGAAACAAATAACTTTCATATTGTGTTGTGCAACAACACAGATAAAAGATTTCACACAACTCAAGATATCCATTTCAGCCCACCCTAAGACCAAACAACGAAGCCAAACCAATTCCTTTAATTCTTGTTCAGGTATTTCCAAGCTTGTCCTAGCATTCCCACACACATACAAACACAGCCCATGGCTTGGAGCAGTTATATGGAGATTGACAATTGGCTGCTTTCCCTTCGCTCAGTCTCCTGCTGTGTTACCTACACAGAATCTGATTACTCAGGTCAGTTAAAAAAAATAGGTTTAAACATTCTGAATGAATGCAAGGACTTAAACAGGACGACACAGAAAATACTTAGAATGGAAAATTTAGCAAACTGAAACCAGGAACTACGCTACTGTGCTCTGAATGAACAAATAATACTCCTCTAATATATTTTCCTAATATGGCGTGACAACAGCATTAAAATTGATTTGGCATTCTCAGCTCAGTTAATATTTCATTCTTTTAATGTAGAGTTTACATTTTTTGTAAAAGCATTTGAAAAATTTCAACATTAAACAGAATTAGTACTTCTTTTATGATAATATTGTTAATTTAATGCATGACTTGGAGTTATGCTTCAAAGTGAATTGGAAAAATATGCCTTTTCTCTTGTTGCCAGCATCTCTTTCATGTACCAGTAAACTGACCTTAAATTTTAACAAAGGCAGCACAAAATTTGTCTTGTGCTTCAACAGGGTTTTTTTGTTGTGTTTTTTTTTTTTTTTGCAATTCAATCATCTAGTCCATCAATTTCAGATAGATTTTCCAAACTGAACATGAAAACTGAAATGATTTTCAACATTATGTTTTTATGTTTACTCTCTGGAAAGACCTGCACTGAATTTTGCTTTCTTTTACTGATAAAGTTAGAAAGGTATTTTATTGAAAAATCAAAAGGACATGGCGGATATGAATCAACCAGTTAATGTATAGCTAGTAACTTTCAGGATTGGCAGGTTTTGTTTTGTTTCTCTACTGAATATTTTTAAGTGTTAACAGAATTTTTAACGATGTTAGTGTGTACTGATCATAATTCCCATTATCATTAATGAGAATTCTCAATTTCTTTTTGTGTGCAGAATGCAGAATTGTATGACAACACAAAAAGCACACTGAAATTTTTTTCAAAAACTTCTTGTACAGTGAAATATTGTAAAGGGAGAATAAAAAACTAACAGATTTGACAACCACAAATTTTGCACAAATGCTTTTCAGACTTCAGTTTTCCATTTACTAAGCTCCACTCCCCATTCTTCTATTGATATATGTAACTATTTCTTCAATGCTCAATTTCTTTCCAAACTTGACCCTGGCTTACAGCAGTCCAACTTTTGCACAGAACAAAGATTTGAGACTGAGCTCCATAAGAGATGTGTGATCTTTGCCACCCGATCGCCTTTTACAAGGTAACTCATTCTTGCTCCCACAATGCTGCTCTGTTTTCTCACTTATCAACCCTGACACTTTTTAAACAAGGCCTGCCTTCTTTCAACAGATAAATTATAAAACATCTCGCCTTTCCCTAATCTCATCTACTCTTTTGGTAAACTTAAAAGTGTTCTTCCTTCTTTCCTGTAACAAACACAGAAGTTTCTCATCTGTTTGTGTAAACCTTCTGCTAGCTTCATTCTGCCTGTTCATTATCTTTAAGTCTTCTATCACATCTTTCATCACTATTTTCCTTTTATTTCCTTCTTTTCCTTCAAAATGCAGGCATGCTTTAGGGCGAGTGAACTTCTTAATCCATCTGACTCCTAATTCCTGACACACTTCCTCATAAGAGTCCTCCATTAATCACTGTGCATAGTAAAGCCATACGATTGTTAAGGTTCAAAACTTTCACTTAATCTTACACATGCATTGCTTGTCCAGAGTTATTCTGCCTCACAATTTGACCTGGGAAGAGAAGGAGATACTGCACTTTTTGTCCCAGGTCTCACAGAGCAGCCATCTGAACAGGCATTTCAGGTATTGGCTGTTATCAGTGCTTCAGAAGTCATTTCTGCTGAGCATTAGTCGCAGTACCCCTGGCTTTTCTGCAGACCCTCAGTATACCTTCCTCTAACACATCACATTTTAAAAGGAGTCTGTAATGCAGTGCCAGCCTACCTACGCCATTCTTCACAGAAAGGTCGGCTGCCTTCTCTACAGCACTGCTGTTAACAGCTTGTTACATTTTCAAGCAAACAAATTGTGTGCTTTCTTTAAATTATCGCTTTTGCCTTGTGAGGAGACAGCGAGGATTATTTTGTGATATTTAGTTCAAAACAACTCCTTAAAACCCTTCTTCCATGTGACAGAATAACACCTCTCCCACTCGCTGCCAATCCTGTCACAGCCTCCTCCATCTCTGCAGTACCTCTTTGTGAATAGTGAAAAGTGAATAGTTGCAGGGCCATATTTGCACAGCAACCATCCCACAAGTGTCCTACCAAAACTGAACATCTGAGCTGATAAGAATAAAATTGCACTCTCAGCCAGTACTCCTGCTTATTTCAGCAAATAAACATAATTACCCTGAAAGAGGCCATAGAATAGAAAAAAAAACCCAAAACCTTTAGATGAAGAAATCACCTAGTACACATGCTATAATTATCATAGTAATTACATCTCTTATTATAAGAATTTCCTATACTACCAAGCAAGAGGGGCTGCAGTGTTGGGAGCTGTGGAAGGGGGCCATGAGCTGCCCAGTGCCACTGTGAACAATTTTTTAAGCACAGCTCTGTTTATTTTCAATTACAGTTTTAAAAGGTATGACATTCCTTCATACTTAAGCATACTGAAATATTTGTACATAGTACTATTATTTCAGCAGAAGGTTTGCTTTGGGTCCTTGCTTCACATTCGTTGTTGTAGATGAACATTTTGTTTTTCCCAAAGTAAAAAACCAAACAAACAACAACAACAACAAAAAACAACAAAACAACAAGAAAACCTCTTCCCATAAATATTTCGGAGTCTTTCCACATCGCTTACAATAACTGTTATGAGTTGTAAAAAAATCAGAGATTATGCACTAAAAATGGCAAGTCAAATGTCTTAGTAATTATTTAGTTGACATGTTTCTACTTCTTATTATGGTGGCTTTTTAAATTAACACTAATCACAGTTGTGTTGGAGGACAATCTCAATGATTTGCATTCATATTAATGGTATCATTTACATTAGAATATAAAGGATGCTTCTCTTGCAACAAGGGAAAGCCAAAATCCTTGCATTTGATAGTAAGATAGTTAAAAACATTCTTAGGATTTAGATGCATGAAAAAACCATGTACTAATCAATTGTTTTATCTTACTGCTTATAAGCAAAACAATATCCACAAAGGGAAAATTATTAAACCATTAATTCCTCCCCCACCAAATCGCAGTTGTGATGTCAGTTTAGGGCATGGTCAAACCACCCTTACCCACATCATTCTCATTATGCTTAAATAGCTGTAAAACCACTCTCTTGTTATTTATTTAAAATGTGTGAATACTATTTGATACATCAAAACATTATGTACTATTTATGATCTAAATTATCACTGTAAGAAAGCAGCAGTGATACCTCTCCATAAAGCTTCAAAAAACCCTTGCTGTTATTTGCAAAATAATGTCATAGCATCAACGTAGAAAAAAATGTCCTGGAACTTAATGAATCTTTAAAGCTAAATATCAGGCATCGCTTTTCAGACAATTTTAAACTTAAAGGTTAAACTGCACTTTTGGGCAGTAGCATGTGGATTGACTTAATTATCAATATTAAGTGTTGCGTTATAATTAGAAGAAAAATGTGAATATTAGAAATAAAAATGGTAGATTTAAAATAGGTCAGCAAAATGGTGGCATGCAGTGGCTTCTTATATTCATTAGCATGCTTTAGAGTTGTGGTTCATGAGCATCTCACATTTCTGAAACTCAATTTACTCAGTACACATACAACACATTTTAAACTCACACTGAGAAAAAAAATAAAAATTGGGAGGTAAATTTACATTTTATCTTGCTATGCAAGCTTCAGCAAGAGCTAACATCTAATTATATTAATTTTTACACAATCACCATTTTGTATATTGCACTTTACTGAAGAATCTGTAAGATAAAAACAGTTGAGATAAGGAGGAAGAAATCCCCAAATTAAAAAGGTAATGTGAAAAGTGCAAACAAACTACAAAACAGATTGCTGTTCTTTGCTGCTCCCAATCTTATGACAGCTTAAGGGGCTTTGGATTGCAACTCCTAGAAAACAAGAGTTTGAAAACACTGTCATCACCTGAAGAGGCTTGCATCAGAAAATCAGTTTGTCCAGTAGCTTCAAATGCCATCTTATAACAATCACTTGCCTGCAGCATTTTTCAAGTTTACTGTGTGATGTAAAATATAATGGATAGCAACAAAAGATGGAAAAAAATAATGGAAGAAAAATTCGAGACACTCACAGCAATTATATTGAAGAAGTCGTCATCTCCAAGGGTATCCAAAATAGATGAAACTGTCTGCTTAGCGATAGTCAAGCGAAGTCCTTTCATACTGCCACTGACATCTACTAAAATTACCACATCTTTTGGAGAAGTTGCTGCTTGGATGTACCTAATACAAAATACAAAACATCTTGTTCCTTAAAATAATAAACTTCTTAAATTCCCCATTTCTTAAATATAATATACATCAATTGCCTACCATTTCCTATTTCTGCAGTCAAATGCAATAACTCCATTCTCATCAGGTTCCCATTTAATTCCTGTTTAGACAAAGAGATGAAAAGACTAAATTACAACATTCTGTTGTAACTGCTCAAAACATCTCTGTGATATTGTGGCAAACAGCATTTAACATTTTCATACTTATCAATCTCACAGTCAATGCTATTATAACATAGAAAATGCTGGAAAACAGTAATGAAAGAGGACTGCTAGAAACAATATGGCTTCCTCACTCCTTTTTAGCCTACTGTAAGGTGAAAACCTCTTAATCTTTCCATGCTTTCCATATTTGTGTCACTGAAGTAATGTTGTACCTGGTCTCCAGTGCTGTCCAGATTCTAGACAGGCTGGCCAAGTTCCTTTCAAGCCATGAGTACTTACAGTTCATCGGTGATCTCAGCAGGTATTGCTATACAGTTATACTTGCTACCTTGATAATAGCTTGTACTTGCTTGCAGCTGCACTTACAGGCTGCACATTTTGTGTTTTGACCAGTCACTACGTCTAGTACCTCGAGGCTGTGAGTCAAGCAAAATATGGTAAAAACAAGTCCAATTTTTTTTTAAAAACAAGTTACTGCCTTTAAAATAAAGACATTTTCTATTCTTCAGTATCATACAGCTTGAGAACTCAGCCATAATCTAAAATTAACACGAACATAACATACATTCAATTCAGCCACTTTGAGACATACAGGCTTATAGTATAGTATGGCTCAAATTAAACTTGAGATTTCAGGTCTAAAATCAAACCAACCAACCAACAGTTTGTTGCTTTACTGTAAGCTAAAAGAACATTTTCATCTATCAGCCTGACCCAAAGTTGCAGAAGTTGAGGATCAGTTTATTTAGCATCTTATTGTATTTAGCATGTAGCAAATTTGATACGCAGTTTTATATAAACATAATATTTAATATTCATTTAATTTACTACATAGAAATAAGTTGCATTGTCACATTTTACTACAAGCTATGCAGAAGTAACTTTAAAACAAACTTTTGAAATCTTTAAATGCAAGACAACACATTATTATCTATGCAAGAATGGAATAAATTGCAATTAAATTGTATTGTTTGTCTTGATAGAGCAATGTTATCTAAGTTCAGTGCTATACGAATGGTCTATTTTGTTCTCTACAGTCAATTTAGAAGTCAGTCACCTGTGTATATGCGAATAAAGAATATGCAAGATTTATGTGAGGGGCTACATTTAGAAATGAAAATTAGCAGAAAAAGGAACATTAAAATGTTGATTAGGAATCTCTCTCTGAAAACTACGTAAGTAAAACTGAACCTCCAAGTATCTGTGAAATTGTGACAGTGATCCATAGAAATGTGCAGCCATACATTCTTTATTGTTTCTCTGTTACCTCTGTTATTCTTACCTGGATACTGTCTGAAAAATCCTTTTGCACTTCCAAAGTACTGCCAGATGAGAGAAGGGTCACGATCAAAATTGTCAACAAAGACCTTATTTAAGGATTCTGACCAATAAACTCCATTTACAATAGCTGGATCTAAGGAGAGAAAAAAACTGTTTACCATTTTCAGCTTATTCGTTACCCTAAAAATCCCGTAAATGCAAAATATTTCACTTTCCTGCACCATTTAAGAGATTCTAAATACTTACGTCGTGGAAGTATGGTTCAAATGACAAATAGAAACCATGTACATTTTGTAAATAACTTACTTAAAATCGCTAAGTAGGCCATTTATTTGGAACTCTTATATCACTTTTTTGGAGAACTTAAATGAGTAAACCTAAGGATTGCTTATTTATTTATTTTCCCTAAATGCTTAGAATGTCTCATAGCAATATTTTATACATTTCTTTTAATCTTCAATTTTGCAAGGTCAGTATTACTCTGTTTGAAAGTTCACTTGTGAGAACATAAAGTAAAATACTTCTTATTTCATACTTGGGTGAATTAATGGCATACACCAAACACAAAATCTTATAGCATATAACACTAATTGTATTCGGAAAGCACTGGACCCAGATTTCACAACAACATCCTATTATTTTTGACCCCCAGAGAGAGAAGGAAAGAGAGAATGAGAAGTACATAACAAATCCTTGATGTTGAAAATAAGTTATCTCTGTTTATTACATCCTAGTAACTCCCCCAGGCAGCAATTCCTGCAAACCCAGACTGCTCAAGTACATTTTTATGTTGCAGTTGGTTTTCAGGAGTAAATGAACACATCTAAAGAAGTTACTCAACTTCAAACTGTGATTTCAAATGTAGTTGACAGATGAGAAGCAATTAGGATATATTGCATTCCCAATTCAATCTGTACATGAAATCAGTAATGGAGAAAGCAATACACAGAATTAAAACCACAGATGTATAATTTCATTTATAGAAGTGTACATGCACACTAACATTTGTTCAAACATTTGAAATAATGCTTTCATTAACTCATGAAATAATGGGACTTTACTCATTTCAAAAAGACTGATCAGAATGTGATTTTAATGGAATGGAGTAAGGGTAAGATAAATTGATATCTTTCCTTACACTCGTCAAGAAAAACAGTACAGAAAGTGAAACATCTGAGCTACATATCTTTAAGTGTTACTTTCATCTAAATATTTTGGTCAAGAAAAGTCAAGGTCAAGAAAACAGATTTTGTTTTTAAAGTATGTCTTGTACAGTTATTTGCTTATCTAGGAGATGAAATATACATTTAAAATCCAATCAAATGCATCAAATGTCATCAGTCCAATGTACTTCTTCAATTTTGTCTAGTTGGCAAGAACCATTGTCTGGGTATTTCCAAGTCTCCAATAACAAGCTGTGATTGAGACATCAAGAATCAACTGGCAAGACTTCTATCGTGTGATCTGTCATCAGATTTCAGAAATATTTCAGCACCTCAAAATACTGATTGGGCTGAGATTCACTGTTCAGCGTTTAAACATTAAATGAGAAGTGATGTTCTGAAGTGAGAATCCCTTTCTCAGTCCACTGCAATCTTATTCACATTTTCTGATGGAGAAATTGAGTCGCTGAGGTGTTTCTAGGAAAGTCTTCTTGTAGGAACTGGAAGCTGTTCTCAGAATCAATAGGGCATTAAGTTCTTCATACACCCTTCAGTTACCAGTATGACTGAAAAGCCACACTGATCCTAAATTGAATAATTACACTTTATCTTACATTTAAAATAATCTCTAGTGTTTTTTTGCAATTTGTATTTGAATCTCATTCCAACACTGCACATTTTACAATATTTCTTTGCAATATTGAGCAGATCAGCTATCTTCTATCCTGCATTCCTCAGAGGCTAAGCATTAATGCCCTTTCCTAGGTGATCTGTGCCACAGTGTCCTCAGCTAAGCAGAACCTTCACTTTGACTCCCCACTCAAAGATTATTTAATTTGGATTCTATATACACATCATCTCCATCAGATCATGAGACAAGCCTTAACTGTCCATGCTGTTAAGCTTTCAACTGAATCTAACATCCACCTACTGGCATTTAAGATACATACTTATATAATAAATATATATATAAAGCTATTTTTAAAATGCATTTATATTAAATTATCCATAGCACCATGGTAGCAGATTACTTTTATTAGCCCATCCATGAGGTGCTGCTTACTGTGTTTATATATATATATATATATATATATATACTATGAATTAGAGAACTCCAGTGAAATACAACCGTAAATTTTTTTCCTTGAACATGATTATTTGAATTTATATTCTGCCTTATGTTGACAGCTCTAAGCACTAATCATCCAAATGCTTGCTGATCACCTAAAATATTAATTCAATGACACTGAAACTAATAGGATTTTTTTTTTTTTTTGTACTGAAAGGAGCATTAAGCAAGCATATTAAACAAGAGAGTGCAATTAAAATGCAATCTGTGATGACCAGATTCCTTTAAAATTAATCCTGGTGGCAATTCACTACCTTCCTACAACCTGCGTATCTATTATACTGGATGTTATTTCTACAATATGCCAAGAGCAATCTATAAGTCACATTTTATGCATCAAACTTTTTTTTTTTTTTTTTTTTTTTTTGTAATAAATAAATTAGGTCACAGTTTAATCCTTATTATACTGGAGAAAGAATAGAGTGGGGGAAAAAATTTATCCAGAACACCAATTGCAGGCAGATAGCCCAGAAGTGGAAATCATCTCTCTCTGGATGCTGTATCTGCAGGTAGAATGATCTCCAAACCAAAATTATTGCTGTAAATTTGGTTATGTCTGATGAATGCATCTCTTCGGATTTGTACAATCCGAAACGCATCTGAGCTCTCAATTTATAGCCTCATTAAAATATTATCTAATAACAGATACATTATTATATTATGTGCTTCTAGGCAGTTCTAAGTTTTAGTAATTCTACTGACATTACCCCGACTACTTCATTTGAAAACAGCATTGTTTTCATAATGCAGGTGAATGTCATCTGTATCCCCAAAATCATTACCAACATTGGCATGGAACTAAGTGCTTGTGAATATTTAGGAATCTGGGGAGGGGAAAAAAAAAAAAAGAAAAAAAACAATACAAATGCAAAATCATTTCTGTGATGTTACAGAGGTGTTTCAAAGACAATAAGTGCAAACAGTTCCTGCCACACATCTTGAAACACAATTTCTGTTTGTGCTTCCTGGCAATAACAGGTAAATACAAGTATTTCTTTTCCCTGGCATCTTAGATAGGTTTGCTTGCAATTATATGCCATTTTGTTCCACTGCTGTTTGTGTAGATATTTAATAAAAACTAGCCTCAAGAAAATAGGAACATTGACAGGAATGTGAAATATAAAGGGGAAATAACAGTATAACTGCATGTAACAATTAAACTGCTGTCACAGATACTGCTGACCCTACGAAACAGGACTGAAGACTCAACAAAGGCAACCAAGCTGTGCAGACTGAAAGATGTACAACAGCATGACAAAGGTTAATGCTACAGCAGAAAGTATTTTAATACACAGAATTTGTAAAAATATCTACAGTGAGATAAGGCTACAGAAATAAAATAACACATAATGCCTTTTGCTCTTTCGTTTTTTTCTGTATGGAAAAGACCAGCTGCAGAATTCAGTTACTATGAAGAAAATGCAGAATACTACCCTTTCTTCCCATGGTCTGCTTTATTATAAAGAAAAATTGTTACCAGTAATTCTTTGTTTTTTCCTTTAGCATATTGCCTTTGTAATGTGTTCATTAATTTCTCAGGGAAAACTGTCAAAGATTCTGGCATCCAAAATGGTGTTCTTTGCAGCATCTGACCTTAAGGACAGCCCCTAACATTGCAGAACAATGCTGTCATACAATGAAGCAGTACAAGCACAGCCTATAGGACCAAGCACTGGAAAAGAATGCAAAATCCAGCACTCTTTTGGCTCAAAGATAGCGACAATATTAGCTTAGTTTTGATGACACTGACAACATATTTAGTCTGGTCATATTTTAAAGAATAACAAAATCACATACTTTACTGGGACATAGACCAACAATCTAATAATTATACTACTCAACCCTAATATGAATGCTTTTCAGGGTGGTCCAATATTCAAGAGCTGGGGCTGGATGCCAATTTTGGCAACTGGCTTCGCTTTATTCATTCTTCCCCAGCCTCCCTCTCTACTGGGTACTGTGGATGCATCAACTCACACATCAAAGCACTGCAGACAAAAAAGAAAGTGATTGCCTATTTTGCTTCATGTGCTGAGATCCATGAATCAATGACGTCAAAAATCACACTCTCTGCTCATATATACATGGGGCAGTAAAGACTTCAAGAGCATGATTGCATAGAGACACAGTGGTAGCTATGTAGTTGTTTCAGCTTCCAACATTTCTCTAATAACACTTCCCCTCTTCTCTGAAATGGCAGTAGAAGAATTGGAATATTGCCAGATGTGTTTATTCTCACACTGAGTTTTATGGTGGATGTTTGGTTGTTTTTTTTGGTTTTGTTTTGTTTTTTTGTTTTTTGTTTTAATTTATTTATTGAGTGAACAAGATGATCTGAGATTCAATTTTAGTCCACTTGCAATACAGGAGTACAGTAGTAAAGTCCTCCCAACACTAATTTTGGAGGAGAGTTTCAGTCCTCGTTTAGAAGAGATTGCTGCCTACTGAATTATAAGAAACTTCCTGCAGCAAAACAACTACCTTTGAGGATACCCATTCAGAGCCTGACCTGGCTTGGCCCTGCTTAACTTAAAACAGACATAACAGCTAAAAGCAACCAGTAGGAAGGTAAATGTTTAAAGTCAACAATTACTATTATTATTTACTTATTCTTTTTTGAAGCAGAAGTCAAACGTTGTCCATCCCCCCAGATGAACTACCAAGATTCTCCTGTAAGTGCTGCTGTCTCACAAGTTGAGCACATAGGGCAATCACTGTTATCACTAATACAGTTTAAGTTAATAAAAAGCCATAAAAGCTTAGGAGAATTCGAAGCCCCATAGTGATGAGAGAATCAAACCATAAATTGATGCGACCACAGAAAACAGGGTATTTGCGTAT